GAGTTCAATATGCTTTGATCATATTAATTTAGAGACCTTTGTTTTCTTGGTGTCCTCCATCTCCTCTGGTTCTTACACTCTTTCCACCTCCTCTTCTTCAGAATTTTCTGAGCCAGGATTCCCTGAGCCCTAAGGGAAGGGATTTGATGGAGACATTCCATTTAGGGCTGAGTGTTTGAAGGATTCTCACTCTCTGCAGTGTCTCTCTGTGAGTTTCTGTATTTGTTCCCATCTTCTGCAGGAGGGAACTTCTCTGATGACCAGGTTGAGCAAGATACTGATCTATGGGCATAACAGAATGTCATTAGGAGTCATTTTATTGCAAATTCTTTTTTCTTTTTTTAGACTGGTAATGTTTGGTTTTCCCCTATCCCTTGGCTATCTAGTCTCGGGTTTTTGGCCATGCAAGCAGTGTCAGATATGGGATCCATCTTGTGGAGTGAGTGGCCTTAAGTCAAATCAGATAGTGGTTAGTCACTCTCACAGACTTGGTGCCACCATTGCTCTATCATATCTTACAGATGGGACAGTATTGTAGGTTAAAGGGGTTGTGGCTGGGTTGATGTTTACATTTCTTTTTTGGTAGTAGGCAGAGTACTTTCCTATACCAAAGACACTAGAACATGAGGGTGAAGGCTCTATGTAGGCACCAGCTCAACTCCTTCATGTTTAATGAGTTATGTAAGTGTTATCTTGTGTTACCTTGGGCAATGTGGCCTTGCTGTCAGATTGTGAAGAGCAACCTATAGTCTTGACAATAGCCTGTGCTGTTTAGGGATTCCCATGGGACCGCTAGCCAAAAACTCAATTAGATATAACCCAATCCCAAGACTAGAAGCTTCATTTGGTGACAAGAGAGTCAAGGTATGGGGCTCTAGCTTCCCCATACCTTCTCAGTTTCACTTAGATTGGCTTCATACATGTTTGAATCTAGAAAGAAATCATTCTGAGTGAGGTAACCGGATCCAGAAAAAGAAATCTGGTATATATTCACTTACATGTAGATATTAGCTGTTAAATCAGTGATAGCCTATCTACAATCCATAGAACCACAGAGGTTATGTATAGAATAAGGGACTGGGTGGAGAGCACATAGGGAAATAGAATAGATAGATAGTTTTAGATGGAGGTGGTGAAGCTGGAACCATAGGATCAAATGAGGAGAGGGGAAGAGAGGGGGACAGGGAGGGATTTGGGGAAAGACTGCTAAAATTAAAGGCCATTGAGGGATAGTATGGAGACCTAATACAATAGAAGGCTTTCATACTTTCTGAGTGACATAGAATTATTTATTTAACCTCTTTGTGCCTCAGTTTTTCCATCAATCAAAAGAAGATAATAATGTACTTACTTATCCAAAGGAGTCATTACCAAGTGTCTTAGGGTTTCTATTGTTGTGATGAAACACCATGACCAAAAGCAAGTAGGGAAGGAAAGGGTTTGTTTGGCTTACAATTCTATATTGTAGTCCATTGCTGAAAGAAGTCAGGACAGAAACTCAAACAGGACAGGAACCTGGAGGCAGGAGCTGATGCAGAGGTCATGGAGGAGTGCTGCTTACTGGCTTGCTTTCTTATAGTAACAAGGACCACCTACCCTGAGGTGATTCCACCCACAATGGGCTGGGCCCTCCTCCATCAATCACTGATTAAGAAAATACCCTACAGGCTTGCCTGTAGCCTGATGTTATTGAGGCATTTTCTCAATTGAGGCTCCCACCTCTCCAGTGACTTTAGCTTGTTTCAAGTTGACAGAAAAACTAGCCAGCACACCAAGATTGCATAAGTTTCTATATGCAAGCACTTAAAATAGTTTGCGGTACTGAATAGATGCTTGCTTAGCCTAACTTAAAAAAAAAAAATCACCTGGATATCACTTCTGGAAATAAAAGAGAGGATCTTATTCTATTCACCTTTCCCCAATTAGTTAATTACATGATATCAGGACAACTCTATGAAACAAGTGCCTAGAGCACTGAGGAACTGAACAAAGCAGGCAGCAAGTGGAAAGGAGAAGATACTTAGAAGGAGGGCATCACAATGGGTACAGTTAGACTGTTGTCTAGAGTCCTAGTAGGAGTTGGATGTCTCCACTATTTATTTTGATAATTAGGACTCTTTTGAGGGTAGAGATGATACTATTTATACAGTATAACATTATTATTCTTTATGGCTTTTGTCAGAGGTCATGCTCTAAAGGTTCCACACTGGAATGCCCAGAACATCGAAATGCTTCTGTGATCTTACTGTCTTAAGGAACCAGAGAACAAACTAGAAACTATAGCAGCCAAAAAGTAATAGTGAGAATTTTAGATACAAGATAGTAGCAGAATAGTGAGTACATATACAAAAGTTCCTAGCAAGTTAAATTGCTAATAAGTCAAAATGGCCAAAAGTAATAATAATTAATAGTAATAAAAAGAAAAACACACTTGGCAGCTGCTACAGGGTCAAAATTTTCAGAGAAGACATGGGGTAATTTCTGTATCATAGGTCACACGGTTGGTATTTGTCAAAATAATGAAACAGACTTTTTTTTAATATTTGTGCATTTCATGGACAGGGAATCTTACCTAGTGGAAAGAGCTATTAGCATTACTGAAGTCTAGGTAGATGTTGCAAGGCACTTTGAAATAGCTTAAGATATTAAAATTCATTGATTAAAGAAGCAAATCAATAGATAAAGATATGATAGACAGTATGCGAACCGTAGTATTTAGGTTGGAAGTTTATGCATCATCACTGTTCTTTCAGCTTTTCTATTTATGTAAAACTTCATATGTCTCTCTCTATAACAACTGTGTAATATATAAAATGACTGGAGAAAATTCTGTGGGTATATCCAGTCCCTTTCTGATCTGGACCATAGTAACGTTTTTGCCCAGTTTATACCTTCATTTGACCAGTCAATATTTCCTTATTATTTAAAAATATACGTTAGTAAGATTGTATTTTATAACTTAGCATTTCTTTACATTAACTGTAAGGAATTAGAACCAAATGCATTAGCTCAAATACTTGTGTATCAAACACTACCAAGGTGAAGACAGTTCATGGAAGACAGTTCAGACAATGAAAGGAAACTATCTGTAGTCCTGGCAGATATATGGAAGTTCAGAGGAAATGAGTGGGCAAGCAGCTCGGGGCACAGAGCACAGTTAAATGCAAGAAAGAAATTGGAGACAGGTACTGCTCTCTTTATTTTGGGGTTGGGGGAACCCTGTATTCCAGGCTGGTCTCTAGTTCAAGATGATCCTCTTGTCTCAGCCTAGGAGTGCTATGATAAGTCATGTGAAGCTGAGGTGAGCACAGATACAAAGTAAGAAGGAAAGGGAAATCAAAAGATGTTTCTTCTATTTCAGGAATCTATATATGAACCATGACCCACAAAGCCTGCTTTTGTACTTCCTTTGATTTAGGAATGTCATTTGAACTTTGACAGATACTATGATTATCCCTCAAAGTCTCAAATGTCAGCCATCTTGACTTTCACAGAAGTCTTTCTAACTTCTCTCTTATCTTCCCTTTTTAATCAGCACGCTCTCTTTGCTGATTCAGCCACCTAAAAATAGATGTATAGTGTCTTCAAGTGTTTGAACTACTAGTTAGCAAATATTAAGCAAACAATTTTATTCCCTTTCCTCTGAAGACAAAGAGGCAAGTGTCAAGCTGAAAGGTATATTTGTTACTTTTCAGGAGTGTTGTATTTTCTATCAGTGGGCCTCTTTTGCCATCTTCCAGCTGGCATAGTTAAGATGATGGGATTAATATGGAATAGCCAGAGTACCTACAATAGTGGGTGTATGTTCTTAGCATGTGGTACCTTTGGACATTCTGCAAAACATACAGGACAATGTTAAATGTTTCTGTCTTGTTCAGCAATATACATAAGAAGAGTCGTTTTTACTTTTCAGCATTTAGAAAATGGAGAGCAGTTTGAAATCATTAAGAGCTTACAGCAGGTATATACAACCTTTTGACTTTGCAATGTTGTTTTTTAATCTAAATCTCAATCATCCAATTTTCTCAATAAAGACTCTAGAGCCAGATGCTGGGGTGAAAACCTGCTAGCTCAGAGAGACAGAGAAAGCACCCAGCTGCTTCCTCCTCTGCTGTTGTCTTAGAAAGAGAGTTTTTTCCAGTGCCATCTGAAACAAAAACTCCTCCAACAGGATGTCCCTCTCTTCTACTTCCTGTGCATCTCTCTCTTCATCCTCCTGAGTTCCTCCCACTCTCTATGGCTTTTCCTGTCAACTGGTTGCTTGCTCTGCCTCTCAATCTATGGTTGATTTTTATTTAATTCTGTTTTTGGAAAAAAGATCTTGGATTAAAGGTGTACTAGGGCTGAGCCACACCACAGCTAGAAGCAGATTCTTCCATTAAAAAAACGAAATCTCAGAGTTCACAGTGTGATCAAATATCCCACAACATTGTAAGGCAATGTTATCTGTAAGCTTGCATTCTACAACCTCACATACAAAAGAATCATGAATTGTTTACAGTTTTGTGTTGAGTCATATTGATAGTGGTTGTCAGCATCAGCCACAGGTTGAACAACCTGTTTGGGTTTTAGTGGTTAATTGTTTTTGTTTTCCAGAATGGTGGATCTGTATTATGGTTTTGAGAAACTTTGAAATGTTTCTGTTGTAGTGCAATAGAACTTTAATATCAGCCTTATAGCCTTGTACTCCCCATCATTTGCTGAGGCTTTCCATAAGCTTGTGTACCTTGCTTTAACATTAATAATTTAGGCGATCTGAGTATCTGTTTATTTTCATGTCTTGAGGGTGAACCTGTGATAATGGGACATGTAGGACTATATTAGAAGGGGTATCTTAGAGGAACCCCACTACTTTAGTGGCATATGGGCTCAAATGGAAAAATCAGTGAAAATGGGACAGAAAGGTCAAGGACAGGCCAAGCAGGTACCTGATGTGAATCAACACTTAAGTTAAAATTGATGAGTCTTCTTACTATGACTTTTTCATTGTCTTTCTCTAGGCCTACTCTGTGCATGATGAAGACATTGGGTACTGTCAAGGACAGTCTTTTCTTGCTGCTGTATTGCTGTTGCATGTAAGTAATTTTCCATGTGCTAAATAGCATATTGTTACTAAGTTCATTTTCTACAGAGTTTTGATGTTCCTGCTGATTGCCTATTTGAGGAAGATTACACATAGCATGTCTGTGTAAATTATACCTTGGGTGATAAATTAAAAGACCTAGTATCCAAGACAGGACAGTTTTTCAATTAGTTTTGCTGACTAGAAGCAAATAAATTGCTTATTTGGAGTTAATTTTAGCTCAACTATCCTGAATAAAGAAGTCAACACAAGCACAAATATCAGAACTCAGACCACTATGAACTACTATACTATAACAATGAAATCTGCTAGATTTTCTGTGATTTATTTTTAATACACTCTTCCTTCCTGTCAGTTACTTTCATTTAGCATCATTTGACAGGTTCTGGGCTTCAAAGTGGGATTAGAGATGAATCATTTGTAATTTTTGTCCAGGATGATACACAAATTATGTACATACAAATTTATTTTTATTCTCCTTTCTGTGTCTTCATTGATTTTTCTGATGAGAGAAGCAATACATGCTTACTGAGAAATTAGTGTGCTCATCAAAGTGAAACACTAGGCAAGTTGGTAGACAGGAGACTTGCTCAACCGACTTTTGCCAGAACTGTTAGAAAAACTTTCTGAAGCAGGTGGCTATTTTGGCAAGAAATGATAATTAAAGTTGAAGAATTGTAGACAAAAGAACAAGAACAAGTGTATGAAATGTGTACCGTATTTAGAGAGAAACCACATGAAATCACACTTTATTACATGTAGGGAGTAATATGGGATAAGATGTTAAGACAAGAAGCCATGTGATAAGTACTACAGAATCATTTCATTAAAGTGACTTTCTTCTCACACAAATGATCTGTCACTGAGAAAGGGTAGACATTCATATTCTTGTTGTGTTTGTTTTTGTTTAGAGGGTAGAGCTGGAGAGAACAAATAGCTATGGAGAGACTAGCTAAAAAACATTATTCTCCGCAAAATACGTTGGGACTGTGAAAAAGAAGAAAGTGAGAGAAACATTAGAAGGAAAAATTAGCCGGTTCTGGATTAGGAAAGGAAAAGTCAAAGATGACATGCACAGTTTTCTAGCTTGGTGGCTGGTGGGTATGATACTTTTAGCTGAATGAATTATATTAGATTGGATGGAAGAAATTTGGGGTTAATGATTAATTTTGTTTCAAATTCTTTGAATTTGTCATTTCCAAGACAAGTTTAAAGTAAAGCATTACTTTGAGTCTAGCCCTCTGAAAATGAGCATTTGTAGTAGATTCATTGTCTTAAGGTGGATTACTTGGTTCTAGTAAAAGTGATGCTCATGGTTCTGTTGTCCTGATTCTCTGTACCTCACTTGAGGTTAATCCTCCTCTTGGTGCATCATCTTATACTTATGATCCTGTCCTTGCTTTCCTTCTCTTTTTGATACCGTCACATCCTGCCTTCTTGGGATGCCCTGTGATAGCAAACCCTTTATAATTACAATTCTTCGGGGCCCTTCTTCCTGCACTGAATGCAAGTAGTGTATAAAATGGTTAGGTCCCTCGGAGACAGGACAGTGTGAGCAGTGATACATACTCTTCATGGCTCAGAGCCAACTTTCTTCCAAAGGAACCGTTGTACTCACTGAGACAAAAAAACTGAGATTCAAGGCAAGAGTGGTACTATTTTGTTTTGCACAAAAGAATCTTTGAATATCCATTCAGTAACCATTTTTACCTCTGTCCATTGTGTGTCACATTTTGATGGGAGATGTGAACAAGTACTACTTATCTTAGATAGGCAGTCCAGCTAGAACAGATGAGTTTATTGGGATTGCTTGCTGGAGTATGAGAGCAGGGAATGTCTCAGAGGCAGCTGCATCACCAAAAAGTCCACTCCCACCTAAATGACAGTTCACAAAAGCTGAATCTATGAAGATCCCAACACAATTTGCAGCTGGTTGTAGAGTCTTCTTTTCTAGCAATTATTATTGTTGAATAACCTGGGGGAAGGGACTTGTGACCTTTCTAACATTTAGGAGTTTCTTGAGACTTCTAAATTTATTTCATTCCTGAGCCTTGTAAGACTACTAAGTTTCATTTACTTCCTGGATCTTAAAGAGCCTCTCTCCAAGATGAATTGCTTGAAATTAGAAGAAATCACTACCCAACATAGCCCTTTCTTTAATCATTTAATCACGTAATACATTGAGTAAAGTTGAGTGGTAACATAGCACTAAGAAATCTGTCATGAGGTTTCTGGGAGACTTAACTTATTTTCGGATTTGTAGCTATTTAGAAATGTACTCAAATCATTGTTCTTACCTCCTAATGAGAGCAAGAATGAGTCAAATAACTAGAAAAGTCAAATACTCCGAATTTTTATGTGCTACCTATTTACACTAATTAAAGCCATATAAAAAGTCAGCCTTTGTGAACTTGGTCACTAAAATATCTCCCAAGACAGATATCATTAACATCTCTCATACTCTAAATTAATTGAATGATGTAGTTGTTGCCATGGATTTTAAAAATAACTTGAAAGATAGAAATGCCTTCAGGATCCTTAAGAAAAGATTAACTGATATTCAGCATTAAACTAATGAAAATGTATTCTAATTTATAATTTGTATTATTTTGTAAATTAACCAGCATATTTTGTTAACCTGTCAGCCTGTCAGCTAGTTTGACTAACAGAAAGACTTTTTCCTGTGTCATTCTTCCCTGTTGTCTAAGCCAGTAGAAGACCATAGGCTACCCTAAAGAATTCATCAAACACACTATCTCAGGTCTAGAGAGATGTGTTATTAGAGTCTTGCTGACTAATAATTTTATTATTACATAAGCTGTTCCTTATTAGAGAAAATACTCTATTATCTATCTTTGTGAGTCTAAAGTTTTATACCTAATTTACATTTTATCAGAACTAAGGGAAACTATAAGTTTAATTACTTAGTCTTTAACTCTCTCAAAGACTCCATAAGTGTGTAATGTTACCTGACAAAAGGGACATCAGGCTGTGTCTTCTATGTCTTGCTGTCTTTTTTATCCCTCTTGCCTTCCCTCCCAGCTAGTCAGCTCTTTTATTAAACCAATCAGAAGGAGCCTTGGCAAAAAACATCTTCACAGTATACAAAAAGATTACTCTAAACATTGGAGTAATGTTGGAAGTGTGCTATACCATTAGCTCAATTTACTCTTTTTCCTGGGACATTTTCTCTGGATGATTCATCTGTCTTCCGATGTCTCATTTGTCTAATGGTCTTCAGATTCCTTAGTTGGATGCTTTTATTCTCCTGGAATGACAAAAACAAAACCCTGCCCCAACCCTATTTTGGGGGGAGTTTCCTTTTCTGGCATGTTACATCTAATCAAATGAAAGGCATTTGCTAGTCTTATAAGTTAGTTTATATCAAATGGCCATGCTGTTTGATGAACTATCACATTGCCTAATCAAGGGGTCTCTCATGTTTGAATCTAATCTTTGTCAGTCTTGATGGTATCCATAGCTTTTCTTATACTATGGAAACAAAAGCAAAACCTCTCCCCCAACATAACACATATCCTGGTTTCCATTCCGTAGTCAACACATCTTTAAATTATACAGGCTGATTTAATTGAGCAGTTTTTTTCTACTATCCACTGTCTTTCTGCAGCTGTCATTCCTTTCTCATTAGCATTTTAAAAGTGTAAAGTTAATAAAACATTGTATAATCTATCTCTGGTGGTCGTTGTTATCCCTTTCTGTTTATTAAGCATATCTTTTAAAGTGCAATTAGATTTTTCTATAACTGCTTGTCCTGTAGGATTGTGTGGTATACCTGTAATATGCTCCATGTTGTAATATGCAAAAAATCCTGTTTCATTTTACTAGAGACATAGGATGGAGCATTGTCAATCTTAATTTATACAGGTATCCCCATGATGGCCATAACTTCTAATAAATGTGTCATTACAACCTTTTCAGTACTCAAAGGATTTGCCCATTGAAATCTTGAATACATATCTATGGTATGGTGCACATACTTTAATTTTCCACACTCTGTAGAATGAAACACATCCATTTGCCACATTTCATTTCTTTGAGTATCTTTTGGGTTGCTTCCTGCAGGTAATGGAGTTTGGTTATACAATGAACAAGTAGGACATTTTCTTATAGTTTCCTTGGCTTGTTGCCAAGTGATAGAAAAAAAACTTTCTTCAAACCCTTGCTGTTAACATGTTGTTTCTTAGGAAATTCTGAGGCCTCCAGCACATTTCCTACTGATCAGTTTTGTCATTATCTTGTACTAAAGGACCTGGTAGACCCATATGGGGTCTGATATGTGTTATAGACAAGGGATAATTTCTATTTCTGATTACTTGTTGTAGTTGAATAAATAACAAAGTTAGTTCTGAATCATCTGGAATAAGTTCAATGGTTTCAATATGTAAAACAACTCTTTTTTGCATAATGAGAGTCAGTAACTATAGTAAGAGATTCTGGAAAATCTAATAATACTATGAGAATAGCATATAATTCTGACTTTTAAATGGATTCATAAGGGCTTTGAGCCACTTTACTTATTTTTCCTGACTTATAACCTGCCCTTTGCTGATTTATTTACATCAAAATACAATGTAGGGGGTCCAGAAATTGGTGTTCCTCATACAATATGAGGAAGGATTCAATTAGTTCTTTTTATAAACTGAAGTATCTTCCTTTTGGGATATCTGTTGCCAGTTTCTTCCAAAAAATTATGGCAAGCTCTTCATCAATGTTCATTTTCTGCCCATAATGAGGAAATTTCATCATTAGTAAAAGATGCTACAATTTCTGCTGGGTCTATTTCTGTTAATTGATGAAGTCTCCATTTTCCTTTCAAAACCAATCCAGAAACTTTTCTATATAGGTCTTTAATTTTTTACTCTATTTGTGTGGCAAAAGTATCCATTCTAAAATATTATCTTCTCTCTGCATAAGAGTTCCTATGGGAGAATGCATAGAAGGTAAAATAACCAGAATGCAATCAAGCTCTGGATCCAAATGTGCATCCTATAATTTCTTTTCTACCAAAGTCAATTATCTTTTAGCCTCAGCTGATAATTTTCTTGGACCATTTAAGTCCTTATCATCTTGTAAGGTTTGAAATAAAATACTTAGTTCTTGAGTTGTCAATCTGAACATGTCAATCTGGTATGTGGGCCATACCCAGTTAATATCTCCCAGCAGTTTTTGAAAATCATTAAGAGTTTGTAATTGAACTCTCCTCACTTGTACTTTCTGTGGTTGAATCTTCTATAAACATATTTTATATCCTAGAAAATTAATAGAATCTCCTCTTTGTATTTTTAGGAGCATTTTATAATCCCCAAACAAGGCAAAATTGTCTTTACTTAATCAAAAATTTTTTCTTAATCAGATAGTAAGATATCGTACATACAATGGTAAAGTATAGGTTGAGGGAACTGTTTATGAAATATTTCTAATGGATGTTGTACAAAATATTGACACAAGGTGTTCAACATCCCTTGTGGAAGAACTTTCCAGTGATGATACCTTTTAACAGGCTGGGAATTATTGTGGTAGGCACTGTGAAGGCAAATTTTTCTCTATCCTGTTCTTGTAAAGGTATAGTTAAAAAAAAAAAAGGAGTCTTTTAAACCAGTCACTGTAATACATCATCGTTTAGGTAATAAAGAAGGCAAAGGAATTCCAGACTGTAAAGAGTCCATTTGTTTGATCACCTTATTAATAGCTCTCAAATCTGGTACCATTCTCCATTTCCCAAATTTCCTTTTAATGTCAAATATAGGAGAATTCCAAGGACTGGTCAATTCTTCAATATGTTGAGCATTTAGCTTCTCTTGTATCAGCTGTTCAAGTACCTGTAATTTTTCTGATGTCAAAGGCCATTGTTTTACCCAGTAGGTTTATCAGTTAACTATTTTAAAGGTAGGGCTGTTGGTACCTTTGCAAGATCAACAGCTTTTGTGCCCTGCATATGTATGATCTGAAGGATTGGTGACTGTTCTTGATAATACTTTTAATATTTCTCTCAGAAACGTTCTTTATTTTAGGGTTTGTTTCTGAGATTGGAGGAATATTAATCTGTGTTTTCCAATGCTGTAACAAATCATGTCCCCATAAACTCATTGCTGTGTTAGCCACATATGGCTTTAACTTACCTATCTGTCTTCTGGCCCTATACTTTCAACCCACCTTGTATTTTGTTTTACCTGAGATAAAGTTCCAATCCCCAGAAGCTGAATATTTACCTCTTGAAGAGGCCAATCTGGATGCCAAGATTTAGGTGAAATTATTGTTATATCCATTCTTTTGCCTACCAATCCTTCAATTACAATGACATTTATTCATAATTTTAGCTTTGTTCTTTGATCACTTATAGAAATTTGCCAAAACACTTGTTTTATAGTCTCTCCTGAAAATTTTCTAAAGAAATTTTTTTTCCTGGAGAAAATTTTCTGAAGCTGTTCTTTATCCAGAGCAGTATAGTTTTTCACAACAGATAGTCTTTTAATTGCTCTGTGGATGAGTTTCTCCAGTGTTGACAGGGAGTGATTGAACCAAATTTGATATCAGTGCCTGGAAGAGGCCCCCAAAAGGCATTTGCAGATGGCAGAGGGTTACCTTGCCTGTCCCTCGTTGATCTGCACTCATTAGTCCAATGTCAGCCTTTGCCACAGCTTCTACATACTCCAGACGGTTCGGACCTTCTGTTTGGATTATCTCTTGAAAAACATTGTTTTTAGGAAAGCCTTGCCTACAATCCCTTTTCAGACTACCTTGTTTGCCACAATTAAAGCTTATAACATTTTAATTTTTCTCAAAATTTTTAGAAATCACTTCTCCTATGACAGTATCATCATAAATGTGAGATCCAGTATCAGCTGTATTTCAGATCCATTCTTTTATGGATGCTGATCTTGCCTTTAAAGGCCTAATTACCCTTTTGCATTCTGAATTCACATTTTCAAAAGCCAAAGATTCAATTAATATTTGTCTGACTTCTGGATCTGGTATCACTCTATTTACAGCTGAAGTTAATCTTTGAAAAAAAAATCAGTAAAGGCTTAACACCTATAACCCTAGAACTTGGGAGGGTTAGGCAGTACATAATGAGCCCTTGTTAAAAAAAAAAAAACAAGCAGCAAATAACAAAAATCCACTTATCATTTGTCAGTCTAATTCTTCTTTTGTGACTATACCTTACCATAGCCCATTCCTATGTCAAAGGTGATGTGTAGACAAAGTTGCTTCTTGAAGCTATTGGTGATACAAAATTAACAGTAACTCAGTTATCCATTCACAGGAAGCTGATTAGATTAATTCTGGAATATTCACACAGTGGAATACTCTGCAGCTATTATAAAAATAAAGATGCAACTGTTTATATAACAAGAGGGAAATAATTTCAATATGTTAATAGGAGAAAAGCAAGCTATGTTATACATGTATGTGATATATATGTATATATATTGTATAGGAAAGGGGAAAGTAAAATAGAATGTAATTATTTTATAGAGAAAAATTATATGTAGTCTTTTTTTTAATGCAGAAACACTGGCAGGAAATATTGATTAGTTAGGAGATTTTGCTCCAAAGACCAGGGGGCAGGAGGTAAGACTAACGTCACAACAGGCCTTCAGCCATTTCTGTGGAGGACTTGAAAGACCTTTTCATGTATTCTGAACAAATGGCATTCATTCATATTTCATATGTGTGTTTCCTGTAGATGCCAGAGGAGCAAGCATTCTGTGTTTTGGTGAAAATCATGTATGACTATAAATTGCGAGACTTGTACAAAAACAATTTTGAAGATCTTCATTGCAAATTCTATCAACTTGAGAAACTAATGCAGGTAAGGAAAAGTGGGAAATTCTATCCACAAATTTGTTATAAAAAATACCTAATATAATTGATGAGCAATAATTAATTATGAAGGTTTAGTGAACACAACTGAAAATTAAATAGATTTATTTTATTGCTTTTGATTTTTTGACATTAAAAAGTTACTTTTTTTATTTTTCAAAAGTCAGTGTTCCTTTGGGGTTTTAAAAGTGTCAAATAACTATATCTAATAAATCAACTAGTTGGGCTTGATGACCATTTAGATACCTTATTTAAATTACCACATAGATACATTTGGGTCCTTTTCAAAGTGGTCATTTTGTACAATAAATGGTTTAGAGTGTGCGTGTGTGCATGTGCGTGTGTGTGTGTGTGTGTGTGTGTGTGTGTGTGTGTGTGTGTGTGTAAGAGAGAGAGAGAGAGAGAGAGAGAGAGAGAGAGATCTGTTTATAGAGGAAAATGAACCTGAGCTTTTCTGTGTCTTTGCTTCTGTCCTTCAGTTATGGGAAGGCTTGTGCTTGGCCTCTCATTCCTTGGAAAAGCGTTTGCATGTTTAACTAGTGAAAAAGTAAAGGTAGCATAAAGGCATTATTAAGAGCTAGTTACCTTTATGACACTCTTGTGCAATTTTACTTTGTCATTTTTCATATGATCAAGATTGGGTTTTAAAATATATATTTTATTATTTTTTATTTTTGTGTATGTGTATGTTTATTTGCATATGCATTTGTGTTTGGGTGCCCATGGTTGCCAGAAGAGGGCAGCAGATCTCCTGGGGCTAGAGCTGCAACTAGATGGGATCTACCTTACTTGAGTGCAGGGAACCAAACTCAGGTCCTCTGGAAGATCAGCAAGAGCTCTGAGCTGCTGAATCATCTCTCCAGCCCCTAGATAGGTTTTAATATCTGGTCATGCTTTGGAGTTCTCCAAGTGCTCAAGAATATTCTAAAATCATACTATATACCTCAGAGAATGTTGTTTGATGATTTACAAGGTGAAGATACATTTTGTTTCTAGGTAGGTAGGAGGTGAATCCTGTGTCTTCCCTTGGAGTGAGGATTTTCATTAGAATGAAGGTGTTCTGAGAGAACAAGATTTTCCCAGGGAGCAAGAACACTTGTGTTAGCAAGGATAATCTTTCATATAACAAGTCTTTGCTGTCTATACTTATCTGTCATCTGTTCAATTCTCATCTTCTGTCATCACTTCTGTACCCTGACATAAAAGACAACCAGTGCTGGAATACAATTCTAGTACAACAGAGAACTTGATAGAAATTGCAGTTTTTGCAAGAAATAAAGCTTCTTTGGCAATCATTCCCCTAAATCTTTCATTTTGACTTTTAGGAACAGCTGCCGGACCTGTACAACCATTTTTGTGATCTGAACCTAGAAGCTCATATGTACGCATCCCAGTGGTTCCTCACTCTTTTTACTGCCAAGTTTCCTCTCTGCATGGTGTTCCACATCATTGACCTACTGCTGTGTGAGGTACAGTGGCCAGCTTTCATACCTGTGGCAAACTAGAAAAGTCCACTTAGAACCAGTCCTTTTCTTTTTTCCCATACTTTTCTTTTTATCCCATACTTGCAAACCAAAATTTCATTTGAATTTTTAATAGAGATTATGTAATTTTATTATTTGTCAGTAATAAAAATATTAAGGCTTATGTAATTCCCACAAAATAAAATTAGATGGTTAAATTTGTGTAATTATATTCCTAATAAGCCTGTATCTGTGAATAATATATCACCAATATAACTTTTAAAAAGATTAAATAAATGTATTTAGAGTCAGGGGTTTTTACTATTGATGCACTTATATTACATTAGGGAATATGATTGAGCCTCCCTACCCCTCACCCCCACCCACACACAGTAATTAATTCCTCCATTTGTTAGCGCCCTTTGTGTTTGTGGTATTTTTGGTTCCTCCAAGAGAGAAAAATGATAAAAATTTTAGATCATGTAATCTTCCTTTGTTTTCCTTTCCTCCTTCACTTCCTCTTTCCTTTTTGCAGTAGTAGGATTCAAACCTTTGGCTTTATGCATTCTAGACAAGTGTTCTGCCACTGAAACACAGCCTTATCCCATTTCTATTTTTAGGCAGTGGAATGTGTCAGGAATTAATTTTTAAAAATTCGTTTGATATTTGTCTTTGTTTACTTTATTCTTTTTAGTTCCCTTAGTTGACTGTAGTCATTTTCTCTGTTTTCTTTTGGAGTGGTAGTGTGAGGGTTAAACCCTGCCTTATCCATGCATATATTCTACCACTGGTATATAAACCCATACCTACTTTTTCCTTTTAAATAATTTGTTATAATACACTTATCTTATATTCTATTGTCTATGAAAATGCCTGACAATTATCTTGAAAGGTAGTTTGATGAGCCAGGCATGGTGATGCACACCTTTAATTCCGGTACTCAGGAGGCAGAGGCAGTACAGTCTCCATGAGTTCCAGGCCAACTAGAGCTACATAGTGAGATGCTGTCTTAAAAAGCGGGAGGGGGAGGGCTGGAGAGATGGCTCAGCCGTTTAAGGCTAGGCTCACAACCAAAAAGAAAAGGTGGGGGAGGGGTAGCTTGCACATATTTAAATGAAGTATAAATGTACACAAATGTAAGACTATCCATTTTAATCATCATAGACATTAGTAATTTGACTTTAAAACTGGTATTTGACGGTGTATAAGCTATATAAAGCCTAAGTGTTATTTCTCAGCCTAATGAGAAACATCATTTTATAAGCAAATGTTGCTGGCCTTTTGTTCTCAAAGGCTCTTGTTATTAGTTGCATAGCATCTGAAATTGGAAAGCATTTTGTAGGCAAAGAAGGTTTTGAATCATTTGTGAAACACTTTGGTAAGGAAGATCTGAGTGCTTTGCTAGATTAACAAAAAGAGATCTTGACTCTTGATTATGTAACAGCCGTTGATGCTGATTGGTAATATATTCATTTTCCTATTCATTGTACTTATAAATCTGTCTATAAAATGCCATTTTAAACGTAGCAAGTGGGAGAACACAAAGAAGCTAAAACTTTCTTCAGTATGTATGATCGATCACAATATACACAAAGAAAACTTGGGCATTTATGCAAAAATCCTACTTTGCCTGATTATCCTGAATGGTTCTGACTTCCTTTTTAGTATAGTACTCTTTAAAAATGTTTTAGTTCTATAATCCTAAAACCAGCTAATATTCAAAATTAATTTTGATAAATAAATCTTCATAGGCTATCCCAAGTTATACACTGAGTTAAGGATGGTGCTTCATGAAATGAGGAAAGTGACTTGTGATATGTTAATGGTTTTTGCATTACATACAGTATGAGCTTGGAATTACTTACATCACTTCATATTGTTTTCTTAAAGAGGTTATCTATGTTCGTACTAGATTAATTTGTGATTTTCATTACAGAGTTTAGTGTGCTTAATTGTTCTGCTAAATGGATTTCTCTACTGCTTGTGATAGAAAAGCAGGGCTGTAGTGTAGTTTGCTGGACTGCTGACTTGCTGAAATTGTCTCCTGAGCCATGATACCTGGCACTGTTGTGGGTCTTTTGGAACCTGGATTCACGGTTTCTTGGGAGATTTAATCATGAAGATACTTGAATTTGTAATGTACTAAGTACTAAGAAAATCAATCAAATATATAGTAAAGAAATGCAAACAAAAAGCCTTCCTGTCCTTTGTCATCTCTGATCACAGTGGGTGAAAGATCACAGTGTTCATCACAATTAATAAAACCACCAGATGTTTCATTCTTTCACCTTCAGCCTAATACTCTGCAGCTGCTTTTTGTTTTTAATTATCATACAAATTAACTTTTTCATTATTGCATTTTAATACTTTTTTTTTAAATTTTCACTGTTCTTTAAAAATTTTTCTTTTCTCCCCTCTCCAGGACCCCTTTCTTTCTGGGACTGGGTTACCTCACATTAATTTCCAAATCCATTAATATTACCAAAAGTTTCATTTTTCCTTACGGTTGAATAAAAGTTCATTGTGTGTATGTACGTATGAGATTTTCATTATTCATTCTTCTGTTGGTGGACATCTAGGTGGGATACATTTCCTGGCTATTGTGAACAGTGCATCAGTTAACATGGATGTGCAAGTATCCATGGTACTATTTAGAGCTTTTAGGATGTACCCAATAGCAGTAGAGCTGGATCATATGAAAGTTTAGTTTAGGTTATTAGGAAGCCTCCTGTCCAAATTTGCTTCTCTGTTGTGATAAACACCTTGACCAACAGCAACTTGTAACGTGGCTTACTTCCTGATCACAGTCCATCACTGAGGAGAGTCAGGTCAGGAACCCAAGCAGGAGCAGAGGCAGGAACAGAGGAATACTGACTTGCTCCCCTGGTTTTGCTCAGGGGTGGCACTGCCCACATGAAAATGCCCAGTCATGGAGGCACTTCCTCAATTGAGGTTCCCTCTTGCCAGGTGACTCTAGTTGGCGCCAGACTGACAAAAAACCCAACAGGCACATCTCCACTGTTTGCCATAGTGGCAACACTAGTTTACATTCCACCAGCTGTGAATAAGGGTTTTGTTTTTGTCTCCAGATCCTTGCCAGCATTTGTTTTGTTAATGATGGCCGTTCTGACTGTAGTAAGGGGGAATCCTAAAGGAGTTTAAATTTGCATTTCTCTGATAGATAAGGATGTTGAGTATGCTTTATAACTTTATTGACCATTTGTGTTTCCTCTTTTAAGAAAGGTCTTTTTTTGCACATTTATTATTTATTGGCCAGCATTTTTAAGTTTTGCCTGTTTAATTTTTGAAGTTCTTTATATATTCTAGATACCATTACTATAGCCAAATCTGCCAAAATTTTTTCTCCCATTCTGTGGGCTATGTTTTCACTGTGTTGATATTTCCCTTTCCTATGCAGAAGCTTTTTGATTTCATGTGATCCCATATGTCAGTATTTCTTGTTCTGTTGGAATCCTTTTTAGAATGTTCTTGCCTTATCTTTGTCCTAAATTATTTTTCCTGTAGTAGGGTTTAAATTAAGGCCTTTAATCCATCTTTGTTTTTGTGTGTGATAGGTAGGAGATTCGGATCTAATTTCATTCTTTTTTTGTGATTACCCAGATTACCAGCACTATTTGTTGAATGGGGTACTTTTTATCTAATGTATTTTTAACACCTCTCTAGAGGACATTAGGTGGTCAGAGATGTACATTGATTTCTGGATCTTTTGCTCTTTCCCACTGGCCCACACACGTTTTTATGCCAGCACTGGGCTTTCTTTGTCACAGTATTTCTGTGTATAAATTGGAGGGCAGGTATTGTCATAGCTCCAGCAGTGTTTGTAGCTAGAGTTTTCCTGCCTGGCCCACAGTCAGGACAAATCTCTCTCACCCGCCAGTCCCAAGCCGCTCAAACCCGATCAAGTAAACACAGACACTTATATTGGTTACAAACGGTATGGCCGTGGCAGGCTTCTTGTTAACTGTTCTTACAGCTTAAATTAATCTATTTCTATTAATCTATACCTTGCCACGTGGCTTGTGGCTTACCAGTACTTTACATCTTCCTTGTCCTGATGGCGGCTGGCAGTGTCTCTCTCCCCAGCTTCCTGTTCTCTCAATTTTCCTCTCTGTTAGTCCCGCCTATACTTCCTGCCTGGCCACTGCCAATCAGTGATTTATTCATTGACCAATCAGCAACACATTTGACATACAGACCATCCCACAGCAGTGTTCTTTTTGCTTAGGATTGCATTCACTATCTGTGTCTTTTGTTTATCTGTGAATTTTAGAATTATCTTCTGTAGGTCTATGAAGAATGTCTTTGTGGGATTGCTTATGAATTTGTAGATTAATTACTTTTGGTAACACAGCCATTCTTACCCAATTGATTCTGGGAGCATGGAAGGTCTCTCTGCTATGCAGTGTCTTCTTCAATTTCTTTTTTCAGAGTCTGAAAGCTTTTACTGCAGAGATCTTTCACCTCATTGGTTAGGCTTATTTCTGTACCTGTGTAGCTTTCCAAAATGTGGGGTAGGCATAGTCATAGCATCAGGATTTCTAAGGAAGGAACGGACTAAAGTAGCTCTTCAGAATAAACTCCATGAGGAACAGTATTGTAGTGTGCCTCAGGATGTTCATTCTTTCCGCTAACTCATCTTTGTCATCTTTGTCAGGGATTATTTTGCAAAGGAGCTTTTGAGTAAACCTTGACTTCCTGCCTGTCTGCTTTTTCTCCTTGCCACTTTCCTTCTTCTAGTTAATAAAATATTTATATCAAATGCTATTCTTTTCTGTGTACTAAATATTCTAGTGGAAGAAATGGTCTTAAATAAACTGTACACTGTGTCATTTTTCGTGTCTCTTTCTAAGAAAACAGTACAGATCTTGATATTTGTCAATTAATATTTGGTTGCAAATGAAAGGCTAGGAAATTCTTTGAAAAATTTTGGTTTTTCAAAGTCATTCTAACTAAAAAATATTTGTCAGTAAAGTGTTTTACTCAAA